CCCCAAAACCCCAAAACCCCAAAACCCCTTAAATTTTAGGAAAATTGAAAGTTTAAGTGGGAACTTTAGTGAATTATTTGGAGTAAATTGAGCATTTGTATGTGAGGTACTCTATTGGGAGATGAGGTGTTTTAGAGATGGCAACGCGGGTTTTAGACTGTTTTAGGAGGGCTTCGATGGTCGGTTTGTCCAGTTTTATGATGCGAGTTAATTGGTCGAGGAGAGAATCTATGGTTTTGTAATTGATCATTGCTTTGAACGAGTAGGGGGTGTCCATTTCGAGGATTAGGATTTCAAGGCTTTTACAGTCATAGATCATTTGCGCTAGGTCTTTCCTTGATTTGTAGCTTTCCTGTAGTTCTCTAATGCATGCGTCTTCTTGATGCAAAAGAATCGCAAGGGATCTTGGCTTAATAGAGAGAATCTTCTTCATTCATCCTCTGTAATAACTCCAAGTCCGTTCAGAAAATCTGAGATTAAAATGAATTTGGCCAATGTTGGTTCTTTCACAAAATTCTACGAAGCTTTTCCTTATTTCAAAAAGTTTGATTGAGAAGAGATTGCAAACAAGGCGTTTCAGCTTTACAACATTCAGCTCATAATTCTTCGAATCCAGTACATTTGGGTGATATAAAGACAGGTTTATGTCTTTGTTCATGATAATGAAAGTGTCTTCTCACTCTAGCTCAAAGTCAAGGTCATCATACAAATCTGGGATCTCCTTCCTGTTCACAATTTGTGGGTCATATAAGCTATTCTCAAAAATGACAAAAGCATCTTTGATTCCTCTGGAGAGCTCGAATTTCACAAAATTCTTAGTCACGTCTAACTGGTATTTGCAGTAGAAAAAGTATAGCAGTCTTAACCTCTGAACGCGGATTTGGTAGATGATGTCATTGTACTTAAAGTAGATCTTCGGGAAGTCATATATCAAGTAATCTCTACTTTCTCGATCATATAGACTTAGCGATCAGTTTTTGGACAGATAGTAGTACATCAAAGCTGTCTTAAACTCTCCGATATGAAACTTGAACGATATTTTTCACTCTTTGTGGAAGATTTTTCGTAGCTTCTCTACTGACTTAGTCGAGACCTCGATAATATGGTATATGTCTAGATACACATGTTTAAGCTTGTTTTTGACAAGCAAGCTTTCTGTGCCTCAGATGTTGTTCATCAACATCTTCATGTCTTGAGAGATAATCTTGATGCTCTTAGCTTTCACATCGTATTCGGATTGTAGGTCATCCCCCTTATAATCATTCAGATTAGTTGTGAGCATCTTGGCCTCAGTAACATTGGCTCGGTTAGCGAATTGTAAACTTCAGGTAGAAACATAGCGGATGGAAGTCTCTTCATTCAAAGGAAAGATTATATCTTTATAGGATTCCTCTGGATTTCACTGGATGATTTCTAGGTTGTGTCCCTTCTTGATAAGTTTCTCGCACAAAGTATTATAATTCTTGATCCAAGTCATTTTCTTGAGCTGCTTCATCTGCACATCAATCTTCCTGATGGATAGGCTGTTCTTCCCTATCTTGTTAAGGAAAGTTCATAAACTTTTGATGGATTGAGTATTGGTTAAAATAAACTTAAAGGTTCAAACCATGTAGTAATTATGACTCATCAAATCCTGGATATTGTTCTTGTCTATATTTACCAATGTGTAATACATTGGTGATCTCTTGGCAAAAAACGTCATGATCGCTTTCTGGTTTTTCGCCCATGCTTTCTTGTTTGCTTTGTTAAGTCTGGTGAGCATGAGTAAATTCTGGAGATAATTCCCATAAAATTCCATGATGTATCAGGAATGGCTGAACTGGCATAGGAGCTTTATTTCCTTCTGACTTCTTGTCTTCATAATTCAAGCTTAGAGTTTTGTAATAATTAATATATCTGTGAGGCTATGTCAATTATTCAGATTATGAGGGGCTCTCCTACTATGTCCGCTTTCAATTTTAATATGTTTTAATGGGGTTTTGGGGTTTTGGGGTTTTGGGGTTTTGGGG